TATATATATCAAGGGCTATATTCCAAATTTACTGCCAGCACTAAAAATGCTGGCAATTTACGTCACGTGCATTATAGATTTTTAGTACTGGCATTTTTAGTACTCAATTTTAGAACACAGCCTAAGTATGATTTGTAAATGTATTTTTATCTTTATTTTTATTTTGTTTTATATTATAACGTTATATCTATTCAAATTTATGCATTAATTTTATATAGGGAAATTGTTATCTTTTATTTGTCTATTTATATTTTCATAAAAGCAAAACTGAAAAATGGTGCTGGTGAATACGAAGACATTGTTTTTTTCTTTTACATATTGATCGCGTATTAGCTTGGACATAAAATAATTTGCTTAGATATAATATTTATATATAAATAGGAAATGTTGTTTAATTTTGACTCATTTATTACAGTTATAATATTACAGTTATAATAGTGATATTATATCGATAATGTGTACTTGAAATAAAACTTCAAAAAATGTTATTAAATTACTAAATTATAACTGTAATGAACATTCGCGAACTCTTGTACAATACGATTGAAATGGATCTAATGCCGACAAAATAGTTTGTCATTTGTAATTTATATTATAGTTATATGATACATAAAATATAGATGTAGTTATAAACTGTGAGACTGTAATAACAACGTATAAGTGAGAAAGTAATTTTATATTTTATATATAAGTGTAGAACAAAAAATACTTTTATGATAATGCAATTATTTACAACGTAACTTATATGATGTAATTAATTCTTATATTGTCATTATCAAAAATTATGTAATATTAGTTTATCGTGGCAAATTCTTTTCCTACAAGTGTGAAAATAAAATTGATATGCGAAGTAATGATGTAAATAACTAAGCAAAAATGAATGAAAATGTCTTTATATCAAAATGTAAATTTAAAAAATATAATGATATCCTAAATATGAATATATACTCATATGTGTCTATAATTAAATATATATAATTAAAATACATATACAGTGGAATTCTCTGTTTATCCGAACTTGTCGAGAGGAGACAATTCTGATATAATTGAATGGTTCGGATAATAGAGGTTCATTACTTCTCTCTATCAATACTTATTAATTCCGATGACTGATAATAAGAGCCGCTGTTCAGAAAATTAGTCGAGCATATCGAGGTATTTTATTTGAACTATGACGTCATAATTCACGTATGAGGATATTTGAATCTGTGAGCATGAATTGTTCATTTAATAAATGAATGGGCTGTAGATAAACGGAAGTCTATTGTCGATTAATAAGCATATATTTTATCTTTATTTAGTAAAGCATATATCTTAATTTATTTTAGCTATATTTTTCTATTTTTATTTTACTTTTTTCTTGAAACATGATTATCGTGATTATTTTGTTTTATATGGAAGAGATAGTAAGCTAGCTCTAAGAAGAATAGCAAAACCGAATCAAATTACGAAATTTATTTAAAATTAATTCCATTTAAATGAATTAATCGAAATTTAATATGCATTTTCCGAAATGGCAATAACTTAATAATTTTATAAAATATAGTTTAATCAAACCGCTCTTTTATTTCCTGTAGGGCGAATCTTTCTGATTTTTATTAACCGATTAAACAATATAATTTCGTTATGTATATATGATCATTTGAGAGGCAATGCAGTTTTGCAGTCCAAGATGGATGAAATTCCAAATGAGAGAATTGTCTGTGTCTGTTTAGAGCGATTATTTGAAGGGTTGATTAGTCGTAATGAATGTCGCGTGGGCCATGACAGGGCGCGCGTGGTTGGTCGTCTTATCTCTTCAGGAAAAGACGAACGGAAGGTGAAAAGAGGAATAAATGGAAAAGACAAAGAAAGAGAGAGAGAGAAGCGAAGCTCGGTTATTCTTAATGATAATGATCGCGTCCGGGATATACGGCAACTCGATTGGTGCAAACGAAAGTGCCGCCCCGAGGGTGACGATGACGATGATGATGATCTAATCGTTACAAAGACGTTCATACGAGGTCTATGTTGAAACACGAGGGAACATGTGAACGATACAAGATTATGTATTAAAAAAAAAAATCATCAAAAAAAAGAATCAATTTATAGATATACAATAACAGACAGCACATTCCTTGATCTTACTCCGTGTTCCGTTAAAAAGAAGCATATACTCATCAACTTTTTATCAATTCTATCAGCATCTTTCTTCAACTCGATACTTTAGACAGAAAGAATAACAATTCAAGCTACCTTCTTTCTTTCTACACTGATAGTGACAATTCTTAGGAATGCGCAATCCATCCTTAATACGTACGTATTATGTAAAAAGACTAAGTGAAAGAATTCCAAGGATGCGTAATAATTTGTTCATCCCATCAGAAACTTATCTAAATCTTTGTGAAATTTTTATTCCACTACTTATTCACAATTTTATTCACACATTTAACTTTTAATACACAATGAAATCAATCAGAATCTTTTTTTTCTTTTCTTTTACTAAAATAAAAGACTTTGATCTAAATTAAAGCTTAAACATTCTCCTTGATAATTAAAAAAATCAAAATGAGTTACAGAAATTGACCTACAAAAACTGGACGTTGAAGATTTTGAAAAATATAATAGATATTGCAGATGGAGTCAGACATAATTTCTCCTACACAAATAAATACAAGTATTTATTATTTCAAGGGTTTATTGAGATTCAAATTGTGACTCTCAATTTTTGGAGAGTGGAGTTTGTTTATATTCCCCCCTAATAAACTGAAATTAACATAAATGAAAATTTATATTATTCTGAATAATATTTAAAGTTGTAAGGCTGTATTTTCTTGCACTGAATAATATTTAAAGTTGTATTTTCTGTATTTTCTGTATTTTCTTTATGCATTATACATTGTGCGAAGGTCTGTACTCCGGCCTTATGTCTCATTGTTTAAGTTTTTTTTTGTCTATCGTAACACCTGATCTTCTTACATTATGATTACGCGTATGAATCAATCACAAATTGTTTGCTTCAGCCATTAAGAAGACTTTATACTTTCTTACATAATGGATCATAGAAGATCATGATTAATCGATCTTTTACGCTTTCTGCGTTCGCAATCTCAGACGCAATTAAATTGCGTTAGATGAATTTTAAATACTACTAGGGAACAGGTGATCCTTTATTGAATAGTAGTAAGATAATGATCGCATCGTAATCATTATCTTGAAAGTGTTTCTTCTCTCATGCACCATTAAAGCACATTAAAGATACACGTGGTAACGAGACTGGCACGTGTCTCTATGTACAGTCACGCGTAAATAGTTAAAGTTCAAGCGCGTAACTTTCTCGTGATAGACACGCGTTCCGGAATCGTTGTTATACATAAACAATGTATATACATTCACCGGCAAAAAAACACTAAAGTTTAATATAAATTTTTAATATTTTCGATAGCGACAACTTATAAAAAATTATCATATCGAAATGAAAACTTAAATTAAAGTTTAAACATTCCTTTTGATAATTAAGAAATAATCAAAATGAGTTACAGAAATCGATCTACAAATATACTTTGAAAAATAGAATAAATATTGTAGATATACTGTAAATGGAGTCAGATATAAATTATTTCTCGTACACAAAAGAAGTACGTACAAGTATTTATTATTTCAAGGGTTATTGAGATTCATATTATTATCTTAACTTTTCTGGAGATTAGGACAATTTTTGGAGAGTGGGGTTTGAATATGTACCCCACTAATAAACTGACATAAATTTATGGAAATTTATATTCGTACCGAATATTTAAAGCTCGCTATATTTTCTTTCGCCGATAAACTAAATTGAAACCTTTTTTATTAAACATCTGATTTGTTATAAGAATAAGCGTCGAGTTGTATATTTCGTATATAAATTATGGAACTGCAATTACGCCTCGGAGGCAGCCAAGGAGACGCAACGGATTGACGAGAAAACATGTGGTATGTATGCTCTTGACACTTGATTGATTTCAACTCGATAAAATAAACACCCCGTTAAAAATGCTCTGTACTTGCAAAGGTTAATTTGTCCGCAATGCGTTACATAAGATGGATGAACGACTTCCTGGATATTTGGCGGATGTCGACAAGCAAGATTCGCACTATCATTTATTTATTAATCAGTATATATTAATAATCAAAAGTGATTTAGCTAAACTTGATGTTGATATTTTCTCGAGCCTAATTCGTATTTTTTATTCATTCTTGATCTTTGATATCTCTTCGAATGCGAATTAGAAAAGCACAAGCTTATTTAGATCGATCTTCTTAAGATTAATTTTAAGATGCGTATAAAAAGATTTTTTAAGACCTAGGAATATTTAAATATTCTTTCGGTATTTTAAATTTGACTTAAAAATTTCATTTATTATTTATTAAATACATATGTTAATATGGATGTGGTTTACTTTGAAACAACAATCATAAAAATGGATTGATTAATATTTTTTTTACCCACAAGGAAGTTGTAAACAAAAATAACAAAATGTTGTTTAACAGAGATTGAATTGCCATTGTTTTTTTTAATATCTATTCTCTAAATAGATTATAGTAGAATCTCACTTTAAAGAGCGAAAATTGAGCCAATTTTAAAAAAAGAATAATTCAATTTTCAATCTTTAAATGAAACGAATAAGATTTCACTCTTTACTGTTCGAGTTACTCTAAGTTTTAGAGAGTAACAGTGTGTATAAGTACCTTAACGCATGAATTAGCATATCGAGGTATAATGTTCCATATTTCAATTTCTCACATTATATAACTACTGATAATAACTATAAAATAATTAATTTGTTATAATAGTAAT